CAACACCTCCCCCGACCTACAGCCCGCCACACACCATTACCCACCACTATACCCACTCGACACTAACCTCCACCCGATACCACCCACACTGTCGTAGCCTCCGTGGCCGTTAGAACAGACGTACTCATCACGACCCCATTTAACGCCCGCCGCTCCTCCTCCCCTCCCACCCACCGGACCTCCCTCCAGCCAGTCACAACCCGATCCGCACCATCCCACCTGACCATCACCACACACGCCACACTACCCTCGCCCCCAGCACCCGACCCCAACATGCCCCCCCCATACTCTCCCCACAACCTGCAGACCGCCACCCCACAACGCTGCCGTCCCGCGAGCTTGCACATCACTACCCTACGTCACTACGAAGCCGCGGTCAAACATCAAAATACCACCTCCCCACCACGCCACACTGCGCTATCCGCACGCACCCAGTAAGCATTACGCTCTTCTACACAGCCCACAACTCCAGGCCCCGCAACACGATACACAAACACACTAACACACTACACATACCCCCGACGCCGTCCAAACTCGCAATCAGTCGGACCACCCGACAAGCGACACACTAAATTAGCTGTAGCGCAAAATCACACCTCTGGGTCCCACGCTCAAGCCCCCCCCGTACCATGCAACCCTCTACTCACACTAACACGCCTCAACAGACCACCGGCACCAGAGCCGCCCCGCGCCCCTCGGACGTAGAGCCCCCCAACCCCGCCCCAGCGACAACACACTCACATTACCTCTCCGCACACCATCATGCATCCCCGTCCAAAGGTGTGCATACTCCTCACCCCGCACCCCCCACCGCCCAAACAACAAGCTACCTCGATCCAACCCTCTCATATAAAGCGCCATACATAGTAACAATTAAACGAACTGAACGCATGCAACACCAAAACCGCACGTCGCCCGGGGCCCAGCGAAGCAAGCCTAAAGGACCCGAGAAAGTGCATTGAGATATACGGGCAATCTGACAAATGCATGGACAACGAATTCTTGAACAATCACAGAAATATCAAGGAAAACGGTCGATCATCAAAGAATATGAAAAACAATAGAACAATATGGGGAAAAAGATAGACAGTAATACCATATAACAACCATCTGCTACTAGAATGAAAGAACACGAGAGACATCAAGAACATCAATAAGACATACAAAAAACCGTCTAAACAAGACTACTAAGACCCAACATGTAAGCGGCCTAGTGCACCAGTCAATACAACACCAAAGTATACACGCGTTAATAGCATTCAAAAAATAAACAATAGCAAGCGCAAGAATAGCAGGTGAGATATTAAACGGAGTAATAAAAGAATAACACCACACACACAAAACGTAAACCAACAACAAGAAGAACGTAGGCTTAACAAGAAACCAGAAGCAAAGACCCTCCCACTTACAATTACAACCAGACAGCACGACCCAACCAACGGCGACACCAGGGCTACCTGCAGACAACAAATCACCACGCCGTCACCTGTAAACGGAGCTATCCACTCACCAACGACACAAACAATAACGAGGCAGCAACCACACTCAAAACAAAACAATGCGCCCAAACAGAAAGAGCATACGCTATGGGGCTTTCTTACAACACACTAGACAGTGATAGCAAAAGCCGCAACTCATAATAAAAAAACCGAACTCCCCAGAACACCACCAGCAGATATAACCAAAGTTAACAAGTACCACAATCACAACAAATACCTAATAAAACGAAGATACAGCTCAACAAACAGATAACAACCTAGCAAGAAGTATAGGTTGCTGCACCTCCAATATATTAGATTCAAAAATATCCGCCAACCAAACCTAACAAACCTACTAGATAACCCTATCCCCAACATGACACAACTTCCACCACCCCCAGTCCCCGGAAGAGACAGAATCACTCTAACTACTCTAGTCACAAGGAATGTTGAAAAACATGCACCAGTGAAATACAAACGCACTCAGGAATAGCACAAAATACTTAACAACACTGAATACCTACAAGACAGCCAACCACACCCCATACCGACACTGTACATATCTAGGGCGCAAGCAAACCAGCAATTAGAAAATCAAAAAACCACCAGAACCGAAGCCAAAGTATACACAAAAAGAACACGACACCTCCACACCGCACCCCTCCACCTAGTAACCACTGCTCCCACAGCAACATCACCCTCCTCTCGCATGCTCACAACCCAACATACACGCTAATCCCATTACCCCAATACCACAACCCACTCCCCCGTATATCCCACTGCTGCCTAGCCCCACCCCCCGGCCACCCGACGCCAACCCCACCCATCACACCACCATTATCCAAACAGACACCCGCAAGTTTTCCATACGACGATCTTACAACCGCAAATAACATAAGTGCAGACAAAAAATTGAAGTCGCAAACAGCTACATTTCCCAGCTCGCTACACAGCCCATCTAGCGCCCTACAACAGACAGCCCAGATTGCGCAGAAAACTACAAAAAGCTTTCCACCCCCCGCAACGCAATCCGCGCCCGCCCGCCCGAGCCTCTACCAGCCCCCACCACCTATCCCATCCTAAACCATCCCCCTCCCCCCCTTTCAGGGACCCTCCGAGGTACACTTCGCCCCACAACCGCAAACAAATACCCCAGCCTCCCTCCTCCATGCCCCCTTTCCCGGGAAATTTAACTAGACCCCCCCTACCTCAACCCCATACTCCTCAACCAAACGCCCCCCCTTTTCGATCCGCTCCCCACGCAATAACTTGTACAACTGTCCTCTCCCCTAGCCACACTCCCTTCTCGACTCCAGCCTCACCTGCCCGATCCTCCCACGCCACCCCCCTCCTCCCGCCCCCTACTCCTTTCCCACCCCTTCTCCCTCTAGTACTGCCGCCCCCCCAGGCTCCTGCCCCCCCCACCCCACGCATGCCGCACACCCACCCCCACGCTATCCACTATCCCCCGTCCCTCCCCCCCCCCACCCCCCACCCCCCTGCCGAAACTGCATGCACACCCGTCCCCACCGGCCGCCGACCCCACGCATCACACAATTCCCCCCCGCCCTCGTCCCCCCCCGCTAATGGTTAACTTTCACGCCCGGTCACCCCCCACACCCGATTCCCCTCCCCACATCACACTAGCATCCTGTACTAGGCCGCACCCAACTCTACCGACCGCTTACCACCACCGCAACCACCCCCCCCGCCAACCACCCCCACACACCAGCGTTAGCCGCCCCCGCAGCCCATCCCCCCCGAACTCTCCTCCTCCAACCTCTAACAGCGCCCATCTTACTTCGGGTTTCACAGCCGTATACCCCCTCGCGCCCACCCACCGCTTCACCACCAACTCCAACCCATCACGCCACCCCCCCACCGCCCCGCCCTCCCCCGCCAATCCCGCCCACCACGATCCCCGCCGCCCCCACTAGCACCCGCCGCCCCCACCCCGCCCCCCCTCTTCGACACCTCCTCTCCCTCTCCCCGACCACCTTCGCCCTCCATACTGCTCCACCCCAAATCCATTGCTCTTTCCCTCCCACGCCCTCCACCCCCCCGCCCCCCCCCCCACCCCCCCCCCCCCCCGCAACTGACCCCCTCGTTCCGCACCCCCAGTGGATCGTCAGCGACGTCTCGACCGCACCCCCCCCCCACCCACACCAAGGAACTCCATGTCGTCCCCTCCCCACTCCCCCTCCCCCCTGCCACCCGCACCGCCCCCCTCACGCGCCCCCCATCGGCCCTCCCCCACCCGCCTCCCTACCTGCTCCCCACTCTACTCTCCCCCCCACCCCCACCACCACATCGCTTAGCGCACCCCCGGCCTCCTCCCCCCCCCTCCTACTCCGGCCCCACCGGCCAACTCAACCCACCTGCGCTCTCCGGCACAGCTCCCCCAGGACGCCTTGCCCCGCCCCCCGCCCTAATCCCCCCCCGCTCCCTTCTTCACGTCCCTACCCTGCACAACGCCCCCCCGTGCACCACCAACTCCCCCTACCATGCTTGCCCAATCATGCCCACCGTCCCCATACTCGCCGCTCTCCTTCGTTCAACCCCGCACCCCCACCAAGCTAGACCGCTCCTTCACGTTCGAGCCCACCCCCCTATATCCTCCTTAAAACAACCCTCCAGCCCCAGTCTCCCCACCACTGCACGTCGTACACCCCCTCCCACACAAGAAACTCTCCTAACCCGGCACGCCCAACACCCTACCCCGAGACACGACCCAATGCAATATTAACAATGACAGATGTGCCTCCCTTCACCCCCACCGCGTAGCCCACAGTCCCCCCCAGGCCCCCGCCCCGCAACGGACCAACCCAACCCACGCCCCCCCTCCCCTCCGCACCACCCACCCTCCCCCCCCCCCCACCCTCCATCCCCCTCTCCACCAACCGACCCCCCACAACCCCACGCCCCCCCTCTCAGATCACGCGCACGAATCCCATCACCCAACTCCGCTCACCTCCACCCACCCCGGCCGGCCTCAACCCGCTCACACTCCACCCGGTCCGCACAAACCAACCCCAATGCCCTCGCTCTTACCACCGCTCCGCCCCACAAAACACCAAACAGCAAATCTACACCGCCGCCCACTTAAACTCAACAGACAACACAAACACGAAAACCGACCAATTCGAGGGTCAGCCCTCACCAAAGCAGTACCAGCCCAGTACCTGCGCATATCATCTCATCACGTACACCGCCTTATGCCAACGATCCTGAAGCCTCCGCCTCTCACCCACACCCTACTAACAGCGCCCTAAACGAATTTTCACACCGTCACAGTTATCCACTCGTCTACAAAAATCAGAGCATCACACATCTACCCGAAGAATCGGAACTCTAGCCACACGAACCACCTCCTCTCCATAAGCATACTGCCGCCACAATCACCTCAACCGTGATAGACAAGACAAATTACCAACCACCTCTACTCGTGGCACAAACCAGAAAGCCACTACGAACATCTCAGCCGTCTGACACACTAACTAGAAAACACAGAGCCCACCCAACACCACTAGCATCCCAACTAACGACACCCCCTGCTCCAAGCCACACACATTCGCTAGCAACACATACCGTCAGAAACCCATCCTACCCACTACACTGCGACCATCAACCAGTTCCAAACTTCGCCAACTAAGGTAAACCTACCCTTACCTGACGGTCAACAAAGCCACTAAGAGACCTACGCCCCCTACGTATCAAAGCTCAAACCACCCACCGATATCCCCAAAGTGTCGATCATATAACGCATCAATACAAAAGATCCCGGTATACCTTTCACCGTAATCTCACCCCCACTATAATCACAACAACGAACAAAACAACACCATTCAACACACCTATATAGACCGACATCACCCACAAATCGTACGTCGAGCAAAATGAACTATGAAGGGATCTGTCCACACCACTATCTCTTCGCCCACACAAGCGGCAACGCGCCGATCCCCAAACCACCAAATAACAGGAATAGACCTATAACCAGTGGCACCCACATCTGCCCACGAGTCTAGCAACTCCAGAAACACAACTCCCCCCAGACATCAACACCCCTTCCCAGACACTAGAAACCAGGCGCCGAATCATCCAACACAACACCAAGAAGGCGCACACAAAGACAACTAGACTACTCCCCTGCGGCCCCACCATTTTACTCAAACCCCCACACCCACCCCGGGCACGCAACACAACTGAACCAATACAAACTCCTGACCCAACCGCAATTTCTACCTCATCTGAGAACCGAACCCGAAAACCCCCACGGTCATCGGCGCACAAAGCAGGAACACTACGAACGCGCATCACTATCTCCCGACCCGGTACCGACCAAGACGCCCAAATCCACCTCATAAACCACGCCCGCCGAAACAAGGCCCCCCCCACCCGCACCCCCCCGGAACTACAAGCGCCTGTTGACCATCTCCGCACCACAGAATATCTCAAACTACGCCCCGGTAGACCTCACCTCACCGCACCCAAAAAACCCGCCGCAAGTCTCCACTGGATTGCTTCTCACAAGCAAATCCTACGGAAGGAAATGATCGGCATGCAGCTAACACGCACTCCCAAAGGCATAACTATGAATACAATCAAAGCCATCACTACATCTCATTCCGTCACCTACACAACTACACCGTATCCCGTAACCTCCAGGACATAGCACGATCGGCATATATCCAAACTCACAAGCATGGCACTGCAAGCAAAATTCCTATACCCCACACGACTCTCATAGAACACCACAATGGCGAGTATAGTAACAGATCAAGAACAGGCGACGCACTGAATTTACCGGCTATAAAGAAACCACCCTACCACAACACGAGCAACCTCTAAAAGCGCCCTATTCTCGTGCGGACACTCAGACACTACAAGATGAATAAACCAACACGCTTCAACTCATCCCTCATAAGCCCATACAAAAGACGCGGCAGATTATCATCGCAATCTAAGGAAACATACAGAAAGTGACACACACACACGGAAAACAGCATAAGAACATATATAACAAAAAAACGCAACGGTCCACATGGAGTCTCTTCTCACGATAGAACGCTGCGGAAATCACAAAACAACATTTTACGTGCCCACCGCCAAATCCGGAAAGCCCCATTAACACACAAGTACTTTGATCTCGAATAAAAAAACCACACCCTTCGCCCAAAAACGGTTTAAACAACGTCGTGCGTCCACAACCTACCAACACTACTATAAACAGTCGGATCCACGACAAACCCCCCGAACCACGTCGGCTTCACACAGACAAAGGCACTATAACACAATACAGTCACGTACATTAACGAAATTTCGTACACACCACACACAACCTGAGACCCAAGAGGACGAGAACACCAGTCAGCCTACGCTAGAACACAGCCCACACCCCTCGAACTTACCATGCGCAACGCGTACAGACCTATAATTTAAGCTTAACCTACAGCAAAAGCCGGATCCCCGTACCTGAATCGCCACTAAAAGACGCCAAACTTCTTATAGCTCAGTCCCCCACACGGACACATCCACTTAACTCGCGAACCGTCAGTATTGGAATCTATCTAAAACAATTACCTAACTCGGAAAAAACAGCAGTACAAACTAGAGCGGGCCCAAATCAGAGCAGCTAACTCGAATCGGACGATCAAATTAATAACTGGCTGCAAAAATATGCACACATAGATTCGCGGACACGCCTAACAGCGAACTAAACATAACACGACATGGTGTAGAACATATCTTCTAACCCAACACAGGTACTGAGTAACAACGGTGTAAGCACTATAACAAAACACAAGAAAACAAACACTAACCTTCTAACAGAAACACAGACAAAATCGATATTGACAAAACACACATCCTAGCAAAGCACTGGCTAGATGGCGGAAATGACGTAGCCCCGCTCAAAGCACCGACAGTACGCCACCGAATTCTGCCTACACGTCGAGCGAAAACCCACACACGGCTCCACGGCAGCAAACCTACAGTCACCGAACCGCCAGTTGCTAACACAGCCACAAGCACACGTCACGTCCGCAACCCCCGAAACAACCACCATCTGCACCATACTCCCAATGCCTTCCCCTCAGACCCAACCACCCACAGCGGCATCCCCCACCCCACCCGTCATGTTCCTCAAAACGCTCTCCAACCTTCCCCACCCCACCCTCCACCTCCCTTCCTCAACACCGCCGTACCACAAACCCTACTGCCAGGGCATATCTTACATCAAAACCTGCGAGCATACACCCGCCCGCATATATCATAAACTCTCGCACACTCCCCACGCGGACGGTCTAGGCTATAGCGAGCACCATCACATCACCTCCCGTACTCATCGCTCCCCGACCCCCACCCTACGCACTTCCAAACAATAGACCTGCACCACTATCTACGCCGCTGCTTCAGCTAAGCTCTCCCACCCACGACCCTGTCTACCCAGGTCACCCTCAGCCCATATCTCACTTGCCTTTACCCCCCAGCCTCACATCACACTCGCCACCCTCGACACGATTTACCGCTCCACCCACCCCAAAACACCATCCACCACCCCCCTAACCACTACACTGACCGACGGGCACCCCAGTCCCACCATTCCGCGTTCTCACCCACACCCCGCCAAACCCTCACGCCAGCTTCCCCGCTACTCTATTACCCCAGGGCATAACCCACACGCAACTCGCATACAGGCGCACTGTCATTCACCGACTCCAGCCACCTACGGCCATCACATACGACCCGGCTAGGACCTGGCACCACTTCACACCACCCTTTGTTACGCAAACGGCCACAAACAATCCCTGCGACACACTCCCCCACGCTCGCCGCACCGAAAACCGTCACCCATACACGAGCCTTTCATGGCTTTCCACACTACCCCCTCTGACCGTAGCCACTAACTCAACTATACTCTCAAACAGATAGATCCTCCTCCCACCAACCGCTCGCATCACATACGACCGACCTCGGGCACCCTACACACTACACAACAATCGACACCAACCATGGTAACTGACTACCTCATCACGATCGCCCCAAAACCCACACACAACGATACACATATGCACTCAGATGGGACGAAGTCTGAGCACAAACAACAACCAAAAAACCGTACGTAACTACCAGATAAATATGTAGCGAAGCACTGCCCCTCACAACCAAAGAACAGCCAAGTCCACACCACACAACCCACAGAACGATCCCGACGAATACTCCCCTCAATACGTACACTAAACAACCTAAATTCACTACAACAACTGTAAGCACCACAAAAATCATGCCATACAAATTATTTATCACCAATAGAGGACGATCACACATCACTCACGGCCAGGAAATCACCCGACAGATCGCCAGATCTAGTCTCATAACAGGCACCCCGCCACAACCACCAACATCGGAGCCCCACCTAGAACCACACCCCCCCCACCTGACCTTCGCAGGAGCATGAAACAAAACAAGCAGCCATTCCTGTAAGACGACGCCTCCGACACGATGCACCTTACCAAGCAACCACCCACCTCCTCACGGAGCACCAACGCAACCGCCCCTTACATACACAGAAAGCCAACCTACCCCCCATCCACACATACTCACACTATCCCTACAACCACGTCTCTACACACGACTACCTTTGAAGAGAGAAAAACACACCGTACTCGTACAAACAAACCCGTACCTCCCCAACACCTGACGGGTCAACAAAAGCACTACCCAATATAAATACGTAAACAAACC